TGTGGTATACTCCAGAAAAAAGTATTCTGGATCATATTATTAGCATGGTGGGCCCTTCACAATCAGAGGTGACAAAGGGAGGACCTGGGGGATTGGGAGCAATTCTCTGATGAGGACTTTGACCAGGAGGGATATCTGAGAGACTTTGATAGAGCTGCACACTGCCAAGCACAAGAAACCTGATAGAACCTAGTTGGAACAAGCTTTCAGGGTGAACGAGCTGGGTTTGGACTTCCTTTCATTGTGTTATTTTCCATTGGTTAGGTGGAAAGCATCCCCCTGTCAGTGAACCTGATTATTTTTGCACTACTTGAAATTTTCTGTTGCTGATTGTGTTTACTTCTCCATTTGAATGTATGCACGGTACCATGGGTTAATCAGATCTTAAACTATGTGTACGTTAGAGGTCTTCCTCACCACTCAGTTGAAAGCAGCCGTCAGAGAGTAAAGACAACATTACATAGTGCTGAGTTTAAAAGTAGCTTTTATGACTCAGTAAGCATATCTTATCTAGGTGTTACGCATGATAAAAGTAGCACATTAGGAGCAATGCTGAGGCATCTCCTTTTCAGCCTTCCATCATTGGTTAGTCTTTACATTTCAGAGTTTGAAGAGATGCTAATGTGCCCTGAAATTTCGTCCTGTAGGACAGCATTTAACCTGAGAAGCAGTGCTTTGTGTAGCTTCTGTCAGTAGGCCACTGCCCTCTGAGGGAGAGTGAAGCTGTATACTTCACATTGTATACATCCCAGCCTTTAATGGCAATGTGCTCCTTTGAAAAAAAAAAGGTAGAATGAAATGCTCCATAGAGATACGTGGAATTTCTGATTCCATGATCTTACTCATTTCTCAAATGGTTGAATTTTCACCAGGTTCAACAGCTACAAAGAGACTAGAACAAATTGAGGGTATAATTAAATATTTACACACAACAACATTTGAAAAAAATGCAGTGTCACCCAGACCAGCAATGCACTGTTAGTAGGTTTCTTTTTTCCTTTCCCTCCCACTATTTCTAAGTGTACTCCTGAAGTCCACAGCAGGGATGGAGGAAATTCTATAAGTGGATCTGTTGGTCTGGAAAACTAGAGTGATGATCCCCAGTGATATTTGCATCTAGAAGACCCTGTCCTGCTAGAATGGCTTGTCTGGCTCCCTCAGCATCACAAATATAGCAGAGCTGGACACCTTTAGATTGTTTGGACAGGAAACTTTTAAGGGTCTTCTTTTGCTGCTCATCTTACGGATGCTGGCTTGCACAACCCTAACAGAGATAGATCTGGAGTAAGGTCAAGATCCCTCGACCACCTTGCAAACTTCGCACCAGTGGCCACAGCAATGGAGTGCAGGTTTATGTGCATATCTGGCAGATATTGTGTTTTGAACCTGGGACTACAAGTTGATAGCCAACTATTCTATGGAGACATCTACACACACACAGGTCAGAGCCAGCAAGTATTGAACGATAACATTGGTGGACTTCAACTTTTTGATCCAGTTTGCCAACTGTCTGGCAAACTTGCTTGCTGTTCCTGAGTGTTTGTACATTTTTCGTGAAGTCATTAATGGCTAAGAAAATAGAATCACCCTCTGCCTGCGTAGGAGCAAATGCCTGATCTTCCACAGTCTTGAGTACCAGAGATCTGGGATGTTTTTTCCTAGGCTGAGTGCAGAGACATGTTAGTGATGTGCTTGTTGTGCTCCTGAGTCTGCTTACTAGCATGTGACACTGGTAACAATCCTGACATCACCATGTTTGAGGTCTTTTGATTTGCTCCCTAACTCCCCATATTCTGCTTTTTGGACTCATCCCTTTTCTTTAAAGCCTATTTTGTTAGCACTGATGTGTACCATGACAATTGGCTGTTCACCTTCCCTCTCTCTAGAATGTATTGTAGCTGCATATTTAGCCCTAGCATCTAGGAGGCAACATAACATCCGGAAGTCTCATTTGCAGTCGTAGAAATGTTACCTATTCCCAATACAGTTGAAACCTTATTGTTATAGCATTTCCACATTTATTTCCTCCTCTCCCATGTAGCAGAGCCACCCATAGTGCACTAAATCTGACTGTTTCTGCTGTTCTCAGAGGCTATTCCTCCAGAATCCAAAGTGGTACACTGTTTTGCAGTGAATGGTCACTGGGAACTCCCAAACTGCCTGTCAAATCCTCTTACTGCCCGGTGATCTTCCATTTCCTCCCTGTCTGTTGAGTGACCATCTCTCTGTATGTGCTACCCACAATATTCTGTCATGGGAATGCTTCATAGGAACTGTAGCTAGAGACATTTCTGCACATGTTCAAGTCTCAGGCACAGCAATTGTTCTGAGCTTCTTACACAGAGCCGGAGGAGTACACCGTCATGTTGAGTTCTTCATAGTTCCTTGAGCTGTGAGTTGCAGTATCAAGAGTCAATTGCATCGACAAACTGATCTGTTCAGGCTGGTGACATGAATTTTTTGAGCAGTTTGCAGGGAAAAGGACAGCTCTCTACAACCACCCTCTCCATGAGGATTTCTAGGTCCCTGTTAGCAAAATGAAGAGCTAACTTGCCTTCATCTTGTCCTCCGTGATGACAGTCAAACAGCAAATTAAAATGTCAGTTCTTGGCTTTTTTAAATATTTCTCTGGGAAGGGGCATTGCTGGCTAAGCAGCATTTGCTTATCCCCAGATGCCCTTGAGAAGGTGGTGGTGAACTACCTTCTTGAACTACTGCAGTCCATCTGCTGTGGGTTGACCCACAATGCCCTTAGGGAGGGAATTGCAGGATATTGATTCAGCAGTGAAGGAATGGCAATATTTCCAAGTCAGGTTGGGGAGTGGCTTGGAGGAGAAATTGAAGGTGGTGTTCCCATGTATTTGCTGCCCTTGTCCTTCTAGATGGAAGTGGTCATGAGTTTGGAAAGTGCTGTCTGAGGACCTTCGCGAATTTCTGCAGTGCATCTTGATGGCACACACTGCTATTACTGAGTCTCAATGAAGGAGGGAGTGGATGCAGTGCCAATCAAGCATGTTGCTTTATCTTATGAGGCATGGTGGATCAGTGGTTAACACTGCTGCCTCACAGCGCCAGGAACCTGGGTTCGATTCCACCCTCGGGCAACTGCCCCTGTGTAGTTTACACATTCTCCCCGTGTCTGTGTGCCTTTCCTCCTGGTGATTCAGTTTCCTCCCACAGTCCAAAGATATGCAGAATAGGTGGATAGGCTATGCTAAATTGCTTGTAGTGTTCAGGGTTATGTAAATTAGGTGGGTTATAGGGGGATGGGATTGGGTGGGATGCTCTGAGGATCAGTGTGGACCTGTTGGGCCAAAAAGGGCTATTTCTACACTGTAGGGATTCTATGATCTACAATCTTGGATGGTATCAAGTTTCTGGAGCGTTGTTGGAGCTGCACCCATCCAAGGCAAGTGGGGAGTATTCCATCACACTCCTAACTTGTGCCATGTAGATGGTGAACAGGCTTTGTAGAGTCAGCAGATGAGTTACTTGCCAAATTCCTAGCCGCTGACCTGCTCTTTATGCCACCGTGTTTGTGGCAACTCCAGTTGAGTTTCTGGTCAGTGGTAACTCCCAGGATGTTGGTAGTGGGGGAATTAGTGATGTAACACCATTGCACGTCAAGGGGTGGTGGTTAGATGGTTTCTTGTTGGTGATGGCCATAGCCTAGCATTTGTGTGGGTGAATATTACTTAACAATTGTCAGCCTAAGCCTGGATATTGTCCAGATCTTGTGCATTTAGACATGGACTGCTTCAGTATCTGAGGAGTCAAGAATGGTGCTGAATATTGTGCAGTCATTGGCAAACATCCCCACTTCTGACCTTATGATGGAGGGAATGTCATTGACGAAGGAGCCGAGGAACTCCTGCAGAGATGTTTTGGATCTTAGGTGACTGATCTCCAACAACCACAACTACCTTCCTATCTGCAAGGTATGACTCCATCCAGTGGAGAGTTTGCCCCCGATATCCAAGTTCTAACCTGGAATCAGGCTGTTTTTAGGCTGAAAGCAGGAACTTATAAAATCCCGCACTAAACGACTATTACTACAAATTGCGTATTTTTTGAACAAGTAGAATGTATCTGCAAATAGACAAAGATCTTGGATGACATGATTCACCTCATAGATGTGTATGTCTGTGTGTGTGTCTGTGTGTGCGAGTGAGTCTGTGTGTGCGAGTGAGTCTGTGTGTGCGAGTGAGAGGTGATGCTGTCAACAGGACAATACGGAAGTGAATCATTTCATCAAAGATATTTGTCTATTTGCAGATACATCCTATTTTGCTCAAAAAACACACAATTTGTAGTCACAGTCAGTAAGTGTGACATAAATTCCTGCTTTTTGTAGTTAATGCTAAATTGAGCCTGATTATTTCTGAGATTATTGATTCTGTCAAGACAATGTAACATGCTTCCATATAGTCAACACATTTATTGTTTATGAATACTTAACTTCACTGTGCCAAGAGTTGGTGTGGGCATCCTTCCCATATAGTAACAGTAAGATGGATTGGCAGCAATGAACCCATCAAAACATTCTTGATGTTGCTGGCAGCTGAATTCTACTAACTTAATTGGGAAAAAAAAGGATGTGGTCCTTTTTCCATATAAAAGGACACAGGCGACGTGTAAAGCATATTCAGCCATTAACACTTATTTGGCATCAAATCAAATCTTTCTTCAAAGATTTGGAAAATCATTTTTGTAATATTAGAGCAGGCTTTCATGTAAAGCTGATTTTGTGGATGGGACTATTCTAAAATGTATCTAATTTTCAATCCCATTGATTCCTTCATTGTACAATCAGCAACCTATCAGAGTAGTTTTATGCCTGAGTGACAAATTGAAAATTTGCCCAATTATTCAACCTAGTCAATTCAACTCATATTTTCTACTCTTGTTAAAAAAAGATTTAATAAACTAGACAATAATGAAAGTACAGAAAGCTGCTTTGTTTTACTCGATGATGATTACAGTTCTGAAAATTATTTCAGATAGAAGATATACTCCCAGCTCTAGAGCGAGAATATCAGATCCTGAAACATGCTATGAACCAGAAGGTAAACAAAAATAAGTTACATTTTAGTGCTTTAAGTTAGTGTCATTAATAGGCAATTTCACTTTTTTCCTAAACAATATTATGCATGATTATGTTTGCACTGTATCCTTTATGTATGCCATGGTCGGACTTTAGAGGACAGTAATATCTATTCTAAACGTGAATGGATGCTCAAAGTAGCTTTACTATCTAATGCTTCAATTAAGAAATTCTTTGCCTTCCCCGACTCAGCACTTCCAAAATCAGTTGAACTCTGATTGTTAAGGGATAGAAAATATATTAGGTACAAAGCATTAAAAACAGGAGTATGCAGAGTTTGGGAGGATGCTTAAAAACAAGATGGGCAAAGAGGAGCTATGAAATCTCTTGCAGATCAGATGAAGGAAGATCCCAAGGCATTTTATAATTATATTAAGAAAATGGATTACCAGAGAAAGAGTGGGACCTACAGACCAAAGGGGCAATCTGTGCATGGAGCCTGAGGATGTGGCTGAGGTTTTAAATGAATACTTCTTATCTGTATTCACAAAGGAGAAAGACATGGTAGCTGGAGATTTGAGTTGGAATGCAGGCTCTGGAACACACAAGATTAATGAGAAGGTAGTATTAGATGTTTGAACAGACATTAAAAAGATGCATAAATCTCCAGAGTTTGACAAGATGTATTCCAGGCAGCTGTGGGAGGCAAGGGAGGAGTTTGCAAGGGCCCTGGTGATATTTAATACATTGCTAGCAGAGGTGAAGTGTCAAATGACTGGAGATAGCTAATGTGACTCCTTTGTTCAAGTTTGGCAGCAGAGATAGGCCAGGTGTTGAGAGACCAGCTAGCCTGACATCAATGGGAGGGAAATTGTTGGAAAAAATTCTGAAGGAGAGAATTAATCAACACTTGGAAAAACAGGGATTAATCAGGGATAGTTTATGGATTTGTTTAAAGGAGATCCTGTGTGACTAATTTATCAGTGCGCTTTTATGAAAAGTTGACTATACTAATGAGGATAATGCAATTTTGTGGTTTACATGGACTTTAGTAAGGCCTTTGACAAGGTCCCACATGGAAGGCTGGTCCAGAAATTAAGATCTCCTGGGATCCAAGGCAAGTTGGCAAACTGGATTGAAAATTAGCTTGCAAGTAGGAGGCAGAATATGATAGTGGAGGGTTGTTTTGAGATTGGAGGTCTATGACTGGTGGTGTACCACAGGGATCACTGCTAGAACCTTTGCTGTTACGTAGGTCATACTCTCTACATTCACATCCAAGTTGTTAATAAATGAAGTTTGCAGATGATAAGGATTGGTGATGTTGATAGTGAGAAGGACAGTCTCAGACTACACTCTGATAATGATCAGCAGGTAAAATTGCACAGAGCAATTGCAGTTGGAGTTTAATCCCGATAAGTGTGAGGTGATGCATTTTGGGAGGTCTAATAAGGGACGCATTTACAAAGTGAATGTTATGTCCCCAGGGAATACTGAGGAATGAGGAGGCATTGGTGTACAAATCCATAGATCCCTAAAAAGATCAGAATACAGAACCTTAGAAATGATACAGTACAGAAGGGGGCCATTCACCCCAATTGTCTTTGCTGACCCAAAGACACCAGATGCCCTTTATAATCTCATCTTTTGGCATGGAATGGCACAGTGGTTAGCACTGTTGCCTCACAGCACCAAGGACCCAGGTTTGATTTAAGCCTTAGGTGACTGTGTGGAGTTTGCACATCCTCCCCAGGGTTTCCTCTGGGTGCTCTGGTTTCCTCTCACAAAGATGTGCAGGTTATGTGGATTGGCCAGCTGAATTGCCCGTAGTGTCCAAGGATGTGCAGGCTCGGTGGATTAGCCATGGGAAATGCAGGATTACAGCGATAGGGTCTGAGTGAGATGCTCTGAGGGTCAATGTGGACTCGATGGGCCAAATGGCCTGCTTCCACACAGTAGGATTCTATGATTCTATGATCCTGCACTAAGTTGGAAGCCCTGCACCTTGCAGCACTAAGGTAGCAGATCCAGGTCCTTTTATAAAAAAATGAAAGTAAAGAATTTAAGGTCTCTGCCTTCACCAAACTCAATCAGGAAATTCCAGACACCCACCATACTCTGTGTAAAATATTTCCTCACATCCCTTCTATTCCTTCTGCCACTTAGCTTGAATCTTTGACTCCTGGTTTTGAATTCTCAGCCGAGGAATTCAGGTTCCTCCTGTCTACTCTGTCTGTCCCTTAATTTTGTATACCCAATCATGTCACCCCACAGCCTTCTCTGTTTGAAGGAAAACAAATCCAACATATCTAATCTCTCCTCAGCTACAATTCTCCAGCCCTGGCAACATTCTAGTAAACTCTCTCTGCACTCTGTCCAGAACAATTACATCCTTCCTGTAATGTGGTGACCAGAAATGCATACAATACTCCAGTTGTGGCCTCAGTGTCTAATGCAGTTTCATCATCATATCAGAGATGGTAAGAACTGCAGGTGCTGGAGTCAGAGATAACACAGTGTGGAGCTGGAGGAACACAACAGGCCAGGCAGCATCAGAAGAAAGGTCCTGATCCGAAACGTCAACTTTCCTGCTCCTCTGATGCTTCATCATTATATCACTGCTTTTGCATTCTATCCCTCTGCCAAGGAAGGAGAGCATTCCATATAGGTGTAGAGCTGGTTGAACACAGCAGGCCAAGCAGCATCAGAGGAGCAGGAAGGCTGACGTTTCGGTCCTA